AGACCCGCGAGTGCAACAATTACGCTACTCTGATGATGGAAAGGAGGAAGTTTCCGAAACGTCAGTTCGAATACAATATGGTCCATAGATTCGCCCTCTCTTCTTATTTGTCTTCTTCGGGAGATGATGAAGGCGATACAATGTCTGGACCTCGAATCTTTACGCATATCGGTATATATATATATATATATATATATATATATATATATATTTATCGTGAATTTTCAGGTCCGTTATACCAACCCGTCGTCCGCCGAAATGAAGAGTGTGAGGGTGATAATCGCACTGGTGTACTAGGAAGACATCGAGAAGACACCTAGATAATTGTTAAAAGCCCATATATATATGCGTAATTAAACATATCAATAGTGTTTCGCATAAATTATCCCATTCATTTTCACCAAGGGAGTATGAAGAATAAAAAGAGGCGATTTCAAGTGCCGCACTGTATTTGTGTTGACGTTTCCGAAGTTTCGTTATTGCATAATTAGAATAATGGAGTATCTTTTCCTGCCAGCCTAGATTCCTTCTCTCTCTCAGCCTGTCTTGGGTTATAGGCATGCCAGACGCACGAACGCTGCTCTGTCTTCTGGCTAATGACTATCTTTGGTCTCTCCGTGGCCAACCGCTGGCACACTCGTGTCACCTCTGCCCCCTGTCCGGCTGTCGTAGTCGCAGCAACTTCCATGTGTTCTTGGGCTCTCGCCTCACCCCTCACCTCCGGCCGACGCTCTCCTTCTGCTGTGAATGTGGCAACTGTTGTAGGAGTCGCGACTTTTTTCGCCTGTGCTGTCGGCCCTATTTCGATGGGCTAGAGTCGTCTACGTAGCACCTGGTACGCCGAATGAAGATCCCTAGTACTGTTGATTTTGCCAACCGAGGACTAACTTTTGAAAACCAGTCTGATCATTTTGTTATTGGTTCGGACGATGGCGCTTGCTTTCCCGAAGACGAAACTGTGCTTCTCCTGCTGTATGTGCCCATATACCGGTGACAGTCTATCCTCGCGGTTGAATGCATGTTGGTGTTCATGCAGTCGTATGCAGAGGCATTTACTGCTCCACCATCATACTTCGAGCTGCAGTTTTGGAAAGGTATGATGTAGACCACTTAGAATTCTCCCGTTCCTGATAGTGGATCATTGGAACTCATAAGCCTGACATTAATGCTCGCTTACGATCATCAGCGGTCATTACTCTGAAATAAGCACTGACAGTTATGGCATAAATGTGTAAATCCTCAAGAGCATTGCGTCCTGATTGTGTCAATAGTCCACAGGTAAGCTGAAATTATCCTACGGAATTTTTTGACTAACGATATCAGAACGCATCACTACGGTACGGAGAACTGAGATTTGACTTACAAAACTGTCGCAGACTCACAAACCTTGACCCCTTGTGGTTACGCCGGTGACGAAAGACACTATTCTCATCATTCAGGCTTCGAAATGCCGCATTGTTAATTTCCCATTTCCTTGAGGTATCTGTACCATCCTCGACGCAATAGCCACCACGAGGTCAATTTATTTCTTTTCCTGGTATGTACAGTTAAATTCCGGCAGAATATTCGGTCGGACAATTGTATGTAGCCTGGACTATGCAAGCGAACGGAAGGTCGGTGTCATGCGGGATCGGTGGGAAGAGGGGGTTTTAAGGGTGGGGAAAATGGGGAACCTGCGCCGATTAAGTGCACCCAACGCCTACGCGCCTAGCAAACTGGCGCGGTAGCCGCATG